GGTGTTATCAGTATGCTGATGATGCCCAGATCTATTTCTCCATGTCTCAATCATCGGCCTCGAATTCCGATAGCGTCTCTCCTCTCAATGAATGTCTTAATGAGGAAACACAGACTGAAAGTGAATCCAGGAAAAACATAGGTGCTCACAGTAGTGGCCCTGAAACCAAGAATTGGGTTGCAACCTCTGGTCCTGGATGGAGTCACACTCTCCGTAAAGGACTGTGTTCGCAGTCTGGGGGTGCTTCTTGACTCATTGCTCCTGATGACAAATCAGGTAAATGTGACGGTCAGGAGTGCCTGTTATCAGCTTTGGCTGATACACCAGCTGCGCCCTTTTCTGGAAGTAAGGGACCTTGAGATTGTTGTGCACGTGCTGGTAACCTTCCGTCTGGACTTCTGTAATGCGCTCCACATGGGGCTACCCTCGTACTTGGTCTGGAAAATTCACCTAGTACAAAGCATGGCATCCAGAGTGATTTCTGGAACATTGAGGAGGGACTACATAACTCCAGTGTTAAAGTCCCTCCACTGGCTGCCTATTCGTTTCTGGGCCCAGTATAAGGTGTTGGTTATTACCTTTAAAGCCCTAAATGGCTTGGGTCCCCACCTATCTTCAGGACTGCCTCCTCCCATACAATCCTCCCCGTGCACTCCGGTCCTCTAGGAGGAACTTTCTCCAGCCATTAAAATCTAGGCTGTTTGCAACCTCCCAGAGGGCATTTTCGGTAATCACCCCCAGATTGTGGAATGGCCTGCCAGATGAGATCTGTCAGATTACAATGCTAAACAGCTTCAAAAAAGGCTATTAAGATGGATCTCTTCCAGCAGGCCTTTCCAGAATAAACTCCCACCCTCAGGAACCCACTTATTGTGCCCTCTCCCAATTTGGATGCTGCCACTACTCTGCTTGTCCTATTATATTTGGCTGTTTATGGTTTTATTTTATTGTATGTTATTTTAATCTATGATGTTTTAATTGTGTTTGGTTTAATACTTTTTTAAGGGGTGGGTGTGTATTGGATTTTTTTGGATTTATATTGTATGTATTTTTAATTGTTGTTAGCCACTCTGATTGTGCACAGAGGGGCAGGGTACAAATAAATGTTGTTGTTGTTGTCATTATTATTATTATTATTATTATTATTATTATTATTATTATTAGTGGAAGGCAAGTTAAGTGAGATAACACATTTAGGTAGGACCCCATCACAGTTGGGAAGTGGGGAGTTGCGACTGCCATTGGGAAACTTGGAAGGGGCCTGGTGCAACATGCAAGGAAAGAGATGGGATCACAGACCTGGTCTCTCCATCATGGAGAAGGCTGAAGTGGAACCACAGTGGAAAAGTGCTTGCCTTCTTCTTTGACTTAAATACAGAAGCATAGCACTAGGTCTTGGGGTGGAGCTAGCCTGTGGTGAAGTAACTAAACTGTTAAGTTGAATTGTTTTAGAGAAGTGTTGAGCTATTAATGAGTTGTGTTGGCAAAGCAGAAAAGTGCTGTTTGACTCTGTTTGTGGACATAACATGGAACCAGTAAGGAGGGCCAAGCCATCCCCATTGGAAGACATGGGAGGCAGCCACAAATGTGTAAGCCAGTTGCTCCCAACAAGCTGGGTACTCATTTTATCAACCTAAGACATGATAGAAAGCTGAGTAAACCCTGGAGCCCTCCTCTAGTATCGAACTGACAAGCACCATGATGTTCTGTCTGAGTGGAGACTGAAGACAAGTGTGGAAATTCCCCTGTTCATCAGTGATCTTTCCATTTAGGGAGGCATAAGTGAAATCCTCAGTAGTGGAAGATAGCAGGGCTTGGAGATGTGTCATACACAGGGATCCCATGAGTCAAAGTCAGCACAAGGACAGCTAACAACAACAATAACAAAGTGAATTCCTCATTTATCTTCAGCCTCTGGAGGGAACAGGAGGATTTCACTTTCCCTTTTTCCAGGTAGGGACAGTAAGTGGGGATGGGGTGCCCAATGAGTGGGCCATAGGGGATGGAGAGGATCACTCCACAAGAACCTTTACAAAGCAGGGTAGCACTGATTGTGAACTGGGTTAGTTCCACAGAACAGAGTTTCCAGATTACTATATCTCCCACTGGGTGTCATTTGCTTCCATTGGTTTGTCTGTGAAACAATAATTGAGGGTGACAGTAATTTCTAGTGGCATTATAAAATTGAAATTGGGGATTGTGTCAATACAACAGAAGTGCATAGATCAAGGAAATGATAATCTTACTTAGCTTTACCCACTGAGGCAAGCTAACACCATGGATACATATTTATCTGATAGAAATAGGGGAGTAATGCTAATAATGGCCAAACTACGCATGAAAATATGTTTCGAGTTCATTTGAAAAGGCAATTTAGGGCATGCAAAGGAAAGCTAATAAATATTTATATATGAGTTGCAGTTAACATTATCAATTGTCCGTTAGTTCTATAAACATATTTGTTGATAGAGAAGAGTGAGGTGTTTTACTTTTTCTCTCTTTTTTCTTTTTAATGGAGAAGTTATCAGCATTTTTTCTTGATGTGCATCATTTAATGAAATGTCTTCAGTGGAACAGAAGAATAGCAAATGGACAATAATGCAATCAGCAGTGGCAAACACAGTTAATACAACATTAAGTCTGTGATTTAAAGTCTCTTGTGACAACCTTTGTCTTGCTATTTGTATATGCATTATTGATCTAGGCTATAGTCCTACACTCATTTATGCATACTTAATTTTCATTGATTTTAATACATTTATCCATTGCTTAGTGGAAGATTATAACCTTGCGTATGATTTTCAGATTACATAACATTAGGAAATGTAACTTAGCCAGATGCCTTGAGACAGTGCAAACACACCCTTCCTCATAAAATTAAATTTAGTGTTTACATTTCTTTGGAATCTGTAACTTATGCAGAGTTATTTGGCTTAATTTGTTCACTTTATATTTTAAGCCTAAATCCAACACAGAGTTATTGGAACTGCTTGTCTATTGACTTCAATGGCCTTAAGCATGCTTAATTATGTTGGATTTGGGCCTTAGTTTTTGAAGAGGGTATTCAAGGCTTTCTCATTTTTTTTTTCTGAGATAACTCTAATATTAGTTCTCCCAAAAATGGGCACAATGAAATCAATAGAAATTATGTTGGTTGTGACAGTTATGTCTACTGTAAGTAGGACTAACATTAGGTTTTAGTCTCTCTGTGAAATAAGGTTATTCATTAGGGCTGTACACAAGGCACCCGTTCAGCATGAAGTTTGACTCAGAAATTTAGATCTCAATCAAATTCATTTTCAGTCAGTCTAGGGCCATCTGATCTGCTCAGGAATGCAAATCCAAATCAAGATTCAGACATTTAGTTTGCTATTCTTCTTCCACTGACTTGCAGTGGGACTCCAGAATGTCTATAGCTGTTTGGTTTTTCCACATATCTAAGAGTATAGATAGAAGGAATATTGGAAAATGCTGGGGAAAAATTAGATTTCTCAAATGTTGGGAAACTGTGAGGAGGAGAATCTTAGATAGGCTTAGTTAAAAATGTATCTGAAAAAATGCCTGTGGTTTTCTTGGAGAAAACAGGCTATTTTCGGCACAAATGTTCTTTGCCAAACACACATACACCACATGCATCTTTTTTTGCATACACTAAGTCCTGAATTACAAATATTTAAAAACTGCACAGTTTTGATTATTTTCTTGCAATGAAGAAAATTGGTGAAATTACTTCTGATTTTGCAATGATTTATACTGCTATCTTAGAGGCATGTAGGCCAAATTATAGACAGGAGCTACTGAGAGTTTTGTGATGAGCACCTATAAAAGTTGCTATTTTTTTGGGGGGGGGGAATCCTGTAGAAGACTCATTCTTAGTAATTCATTATTGTGTGTGTTCTGACATTGTAGCTCCAATGTTGGGACATGTTCCTGCAGTACCTACAATGGATAATATATATTTTACAGGATTGGGGTCCACACTGCTATGTACAAAATCACTTCAGTTAAGAAATCCAAGCTCCAGCAGTAGAAACAGGGAGAAAAAACTTCATTAATAAATCAAAGATGATGAGAGCAAATATGTGTTGTCAGGACTAAAGCAATGTCAATTACACAATATAATAAAAACACCCAGCAATTTAAACATTTCATTTGCCCATAAAACAAAACCACTTTACACTTTCCATTCCCCAGGGTTGCTCCTCCTTTCAACCCCACACCAGTTGTTCCCATGAGATCCACCTTGAAGCTCCCAGTGTAACCTCTTTCCCCCATATATCAGCTCATTAGCTACCCCAAGGAATGTAAACAACCAGCATCATCCTTCACACAGAACAGCACAACATCTAAAATTGAAAATACTAAAAGCATGCAAAATCAATAAGACTTCAGGGAAAACCCATCAATAAAACTGCAATCCAAGTTTATGCTCCAACTAAAGGGATAAAAGAGGAATAAATTGAAAGATTCTATACTGGAGTCCAGGAGGAAATTGATCACACACCAAAACAGAACATGCTGATAATTTTAGGAAATTAGAATGCAAAAGCAGGAAATAGAGCGGAGCCAAATGTAATTGGAGAATTTGACCTAT